ATTCCAGTCAATTTCCACCAGTATTAGTACCGTCCGTTGTCTACAAGATACAGTATATGTAGCATCATCCACATCTGCCAAGGTCGACAGATCCTAACACGAGCAAAGAGGTTTTCTTGGGAGTTGGCCATGCTGACGGTGTGCGTAACTCAAGTCACTACTTCGTTCACCCCGACCCTTCTCCCACTTTAGTGGCCTCACCACATCTCTAAAATGTCCTTGGCTTCTCTCAGGATTGTCTTCGTTGTCTTGTTCGCCTTGAATTGTGTTCTTTGGTCTTCAAGCCGTTATGGACACATTCCACACACCAGCTTCCTTCACGGAGAGACCAGCCTAGTGAAACGATTATCTCTCGAACTCACCAATTCCAACCCAACCACTTTCGATGCCGCTGAGAAACAGGTGAATTATCTCCGCATTAACGCAGTCGCACGTTGTCATTCTCTCCAGTGTCGGCCTCTCGCATTCCCAACAATTGACCAGTGCGCTCATGTACAGAGGGACTGCCCTTCGGCGCCGACATTTCTATCCATCCAATATCTCGAGCACTACTACTGCACGGAAGCTACCCTCCGGCCCTTGGTTTTCACTGCTCTCATCGTTTGGCTTATATTCCTATTCTCCACTCTTGGCATCAGTGCCTCCGATTTCTTCACCCCGAACCTGGCCACAATTGCGCAGTTGCTGGGGTTGGATGAAAATGTTGCCGGTGTTACGTTCCTGGCATTCGGGAACGGCAGCCCAGACGTTTTCTCCACCTATTCCGCGATGCGAGCCAACTCGGGGAGTCTGGCCATAGGAGAGCTGTTAGGCGCCGCTTCCTTCATTGTTTCCTGTGTGGTTGGCTCTATGTGTATAATAAAGCCATTCTACGTAAATCGTGGGCCCTTCATTCGAGATGTCGGTTTCTTTAGCACAGCAGTCGCCCTGCTCCTGGTGATATTGTGGGATGGTAGTATTCGGTTCTGGGAGGCTGCCGTGATGATAGCTCTCTACGTATTCTATGTCGCCACCGTGGTGCTCGGCACTTGGTGGGAACGGACGCAGAAGCAAAGGAGGGTTCATGAAGCCATGGTGCGATCCGAGTATGATGACTCTGATATTTCGCCCTCCAGCCCATTTCTAGAACGTTACAGAGATTACCGTAAGTGTACCCTCTTGATTTTATTATGCCAGCTTATCCCGTTCAAGCCAGCTCATCCTCTCAGCCGCCAACCTCCGTATTGGTGGCACCATCACCGTCCAGAGCACGCGCCATTTCAGCCCCGAGTGCGCCCCCCAGACTACACACAGACCTTCCTCCTCGCTCTCACTCAAGAACGCCGTCACCATCACCTTCCTTCGCGGCAATGCCATCATTTTCTCTTGTCGGTGCTCTGGAGTTTCGCCAAGTTGTCGCCTCGTTACAGCATGAGGCTGCGGGATCCTCTCTGAACATTTTTGATAGTCCCTTTACCCCGTATGCGGGAGGGCATTACAATTCTCTCCGATCAAGGTCACGGACTCTGAGCCGTGAGGTGGATCCTTGGGATACCGCACTTGGCGTTCCCCTTGATGAACGCTCACGCCCACAACTGGTCGTCACGCCTGCTCTGACCGAGGAACCCGAAGACACGATGTATGGGAGTACTACTGAAGGCAGGTCTCATTCTCGGGAAACCTCGGTCCCGTCCATTTCACGAACGCCTGCCTCTCCGACTATATCTGATGGTGACACGGAGTCGCAGAATTTTCAACCTCCAACTCGTCGACAACGATTTGTGTATGCCATCGGAAGCATCTACCACACACTCTTTCCGTCACTCCACCGTTTCCGGAGCAAGACGGTCTTGGGACAGATTGCTTCTGTGTTTGCTACGCCGGCCGTGATGCTGCTCACGCTCACACTACCGGTTGTTGTTACTCCTTACCACTCTACGCATCATTCACGCGAGAAGACGCCGGGCGAGGAAAGCAACTTGATTGATTTTGAGGAAGAAGGCATCGAACGAATTCTCATTGCCGAGGAGGAGGTAGAGGAAGAGATGCACGGAATTTCATTCAGCAAATGGCTTACAGTCGCTCAATGTACTTTCGGCCCTCTGTTTTGTGCTGCAGTCTTATTTGGTTTGCAGATTTTTTATTATCTCTTAGCTCTGCTTACCAGTTACAGCCGGAAACGAATATCAAATCTGGGCGTTGCTGTCTGCAGGAATTGCTGGCATGACTGCATCAACTCTTGTCGCTGTGTTTGCGAACGATGGCAACCATCCGACATTTCGAATGACGCGTTGCTCAATCGGTTTCTTCGTCGCTGTTGTTTGGATAATGGCTATCGCAGATGAGGTCGTGAAGGTTCTGCAGGTATGTCCCAACAATTTTACTTGAGACTATCTGTAATCATAGCACATCCCCAGACGTTTGGTTTCATCTTTGGACTCTCCGACGCGATTATTGGCTTGACCATTTTCGCGGTGGGCAACTCCCTTGCTGATCTTGTCGCAAACATGAGTGTAGCGGTGAGCACCTACATTATTGCCAACCTCCACAATGTTCAAAATACTAGGTGTTCGCCCCAATCATGGGTTTCTCTGCATGTTTCGGAGGTCCGATGCTCAATATCCTACTGGGTGTGGGCATCTCGGGGTCCTACATCATACAGCAAACCTCACAACCATACGAGCTCCATTTTGGCAAAACCCTCATGGTCAGCACCGTTGGACTCTTGATCCTTCTGGGTGCGACGTTGATCGTCGTGCCATTGAATGGATACTTCCTCACACGGACTTGGGGGATAATACTCATTGCCTCGTATGCAACCATCATGGCGATCAACGTCGTTGTCGAAATAAAAAGTTAACATAGTACTAACATATGGCGGACTGTACCAGTACATAGTGTACGGTGAGGATTAAATAACATAATTTACGTAGAAGGGAATCAAAGCAAACAGATGTTCCCGATCAACAAGCGACATCAACGCTTACTCCCATGTCCAACGAAGCACCAGCTCCAGAAATCCAGATAAATGTCAAAGGTAGTACTGACTCTGAGCGTAGCGTGTCTTCTACTCAATCTGCCGCCAGGTCCGAGCGAATTGAAGCTTCAGATTACGATTACGACCGATAAGACCGTCCTCGAATTCAAGCAGGCAATCGCGGAGAAATCAGATGTTGAGGCTGAAAGGCAACGCCTAATATATTCGGGTAGGACTCTTCTGCCTCGCAGCTCACTCTGAAGCTAACGGGTTGCTGCTCAGGCCGAGTTTTGAAGGTATCAATGGACTGAAGATGACTCTAGAAACATGACGCTTACGAATATCTCAAGGACGAGGATTTATTATCCGTATATAAGATCCAATCGTCGCACACCATTCATATGGTTAAGGGTGCTGTACGTTCCGGCGCTGCATCGACGTCTTCGCAGCCAGCTGCGCCACAACAATTGCCTACAATGCAGACAGGGCAAAACCCCCACGACCCGTTGACTCTGCTAAATAGCCATGCAGGTTTCGGTGCCATGGCCGGCTTGAATCCCTTTGCCGACATGGGGCTGAACCCCAACGATCCCAATATGGTGCGTATTTGGAACTTACCTGACAGACAGACAGTTAATGCGTCCTCACAGCTACAAGGGATGATGAACAATCCCCAGTTTCTCCAGCAGATGTCGGCAATGATGTCCAACCCAGCGGTCATGGAGCAGATCATTGCATCAAACCCTCAAATGGCGGGAATGGGGCAGGAAGCTCGGAACATGATGCAGAGCGAACATTTTAGGCAGATGGTGTATGTGTCTGATCTACCGGCCTACGGAAGCGACTGACTTTCTTTTGCAGGTCCAGTCCAGAAAACCTCCAGCGAATGCTTCAAATGGCTTCCTTGTTCAACGGAGGCGGTATGGGAGGAGGCGCCAACGCGTTCCCTGCACCGGGTATCCCAGGTTCAACGCCATCTACCAACACTCCTGCAGCAGCACCTGCCGCGCCAGCCTTCCCCAACCTTTTCGGAGCTGGCGGCGGCGCGGGACGTCCAGCGTTTGACCCTGCATTACTTGCGCAGCTTATGGGCGGGGCTCCTCCTGCCGCCCCGGTAGCCGGTGCAAGTGCAGGTGGGCAAGCGCCTAATCCGCAAATGGACCCTGCTATGCTGTACCAACTTCTTGGCGGATTCGGGGGACCGGCCGCTCCCCAAACACCGAGTGATACGCGGCCACCTGAGGAGAGATTCCAGGTTCAACTGCAGGTTTGTCGACTTTTCATGACGTGTTTGGGATTACTCACGCGGGGTATACAGCAATTGCAGGACATGGGATTCACCAATGCGTCTCAGAATGTGCGGGCCCTGCTTGCTACAGCTGGGAATGTCCATTCTGCAATCGAGTATATCCTTGGTGGGGGTGGTATATAAGTGCGTTAACATCCCGCTTGTCCACGCGATCTGATTTTCGAGACCATGCGACAGACTCGAACCTGTATCCCGTCAAGTAATGTAGAATATCTTGGGTAGTGTTCACTTTATTAGTCGTCGAATCCATACGCGAAGATGCGATGACTCGGCGTGTACATGCTGTTGTATGGACATTCAATACGCTTCTACAACCAAGGCGCATCGCATGCATTTGGATTTCTAAAATAACTCGCGTAACACTTCCACTTCTATGTATCACACAAGTGTAGGTGAACTGTAGGAGAGCTAGAGGGGCCAGAAGGTATATGAAAAAAGAGGCTTTATTGGGAAGGAATTCTGGGAAGTTGTGGCTATGTTGTTTACCAATATTTTGCCAGTTCAATTGAGTCACATATCGCGGTCACATCACACGGTCCGATATTTCCGACCTCACCACAATTAAGATTCATGAACCTCGTAACCGCGGCTGAGTAGGAACCTGGGAAACCGTATCCTTTGACGAATGAAGCACTCAATAGTCCAACATTTGGGGTAAACAGACCACAAGCGGCTGTTACGCAGCATTTTGGAGTCAGGGAGGATCATAGTAACATTGTGTTGAGTCACTTTCATCCGACTTTAGCTCAGTTGGAAGAGCGCAAGACTGTAATTGGATACCTCAAACTTGCCTGGTTCGAACCAGTGAGTGATTACGTAATCTTGATGTCGCCTGTTCGAACCAGGCAAGTCGGATTCTTTTTGATCTTTTTTCCTTCACTTCTGTCCTTTGTCGAAGTGTTTAGTGAATCCAAACCTTGCCAAGTAGAATGTGAAAAAATCTTGTAAGTCCGCGAGCTTAACAGCCATTCTTGGTTGTAAACGAGGCCACTTCCTTTACATTCAATTATCATCTTTTTCCTGCCTTTCATTTAGACTGGTGACAGATATGTCTAGATCTGATGAGAGAGGCAAGCTCGCCGTGTGTATGAACGATTCACCTCTTCATACCCAAATAGGCTACCAATCTACCTTTCGTTCGATCCAGCGAAGGCTTGATCGGTATGAAGCGTAACAATTTGTGGGCAACGCCAACCAACTCCCAACGGTTTCAAAGCTTGAGAATTTCGAAATGATTGTTGTGTATTTTAAAGAATTAATCGCAGAACGCTGGTATAAATCCATAATCCGTAGATGAAAGATGAAAGATTGAGTTGAGTGTAGAGGGTGTTCGTTATATGTAGGCATAAAAATTGTCCAAAAGAAAACAGTTCACATCACAACACACCACTTCCCCTTCTTCTCTTCACTCTCCGAGTCTTCTGTCGGCGCAGTGACAGAGGGAGTTGTAGGTTTAGAAGGGGTGAACTCGCCCTGAGCAACATCAAGAGAGGCTCTTCCTTGTGGCACCTTCGAGAACCATCCGCCGGGGAAAAACATGGAAGACGCGGTGGATTCGAGTCTCGAACGAGGGGAAATGGGTGTTTCCAAGTAGGAGTTATTTCCATCGTCAGACGAAGGTGCCGACCTATGAAATCACATGTTAACATCTAGTCAGGTGTATATTACTAGGTGAGGCTTACTTAGAGATATCCAGCATGAGGGGGAACGCCTGAGGTTGCAGCTCATTTGAAAACGGAGCAGCGGAGGCGGCAGGTGCGTCAGAGGCTTTGGGGGTACTTGCACCATCGGGGGTAGGGACTTCCAGGGTAAAGTGTGGATCAGTGTGTTCAACTGGCGCGGTAGTAGGTGGAACTGAATCCTCGACAACTACGAAAGATTCACCAGTAGTCGCAGGTTCCGCCTCTTCGACGGTAACCTCGGGTGAATCAGAGTCAGTCGCGACCGGAACGTCCCCAGAAACATTAACCGCTTCTGGAGCTGGTACAATCGACTCAACGTCTTTCACCTCTTGATCTGGGGCAGGAGCCAATCCCGTTTCCATCAGTGCAGTTTCGTCGGCTGTTGTGATAACCTGAACAGGGACAGAGGCAGAGTCGGAAATACTATCTACAGTTTCGGTGGATTCAGACTCCTTGGTCACATTTGCCTCGTTCTGTTCCCCGTCGGCCTCTGAGACAATGTCGGCGGGAGAATCGCTGTCCACAACGCTGGCATTTGCGACCTCGGGAGCTGGAGGCATCGATTCCGCAACCTCAGAGGCACCGGCAAGGTCTGTGGTGTCTCCGGCTTCACTCATAGCTGGGACGGCGTCTGCGGAGACAGAAGGGGCGACCATGGATTCCGGAACGACGGGCTCTGCGACATCCACAGCTGCGGCATCTACTGAAACGTCATCGGCAGACATCTCTTCGACCATGAGAGCCACAGCAGCTGGAGTTAGTGCAGGTTCTGCCACCAACTCAGATGGGACTTCTTCTTCGGGCGCTGGGTCGGACTCTGTCACAGCTGATTCTGGTGCATCCTTCACATCTAAAAACCCCTCGTCCAGCACAGATTCCACTGCTACTGGTTCTGCGGCAACGTCGGAAACACCCTCTTCAACTATTGCCGGAGTAGACTCTGTCGCCGCTGATTCGGGAGCAAGAGAATCATCCGCAACCGTGGCATACTCTTGGGTTGGCTCTGCCACTTCGTCCTCAAGCGCCGAGGTCGGTTCGGGTACGGGCGATTCGTCAAGAACTGTAGCATCAACGATTTCTTTGGCGAAAGTATCCTCGTCCACAGGAGCAGTTATGACCACTTCGGCTGGTGCAGCATCTACTTGAGATTCTTCGATGAGGGCAGAATTAGCCACGGGAGATGCTGGCGATTCGGAGGTGATGGTACTGAGGTCCTGTTCGGTGGGTGCAGGTTGTTCTGGCACCAGTTGGGGCTCGTCGGCCCCAGAGTCAACAACCTCTTGAGCGGCAGCCAATTCGGGCGTGACTGATTCTAGAGCAGATGCAATGCATGCGACCTCGTGTACAGCGTTAGTCGCGGCCTCCCCTGCCAAAGATTCAGCGACAACGTCGGAAGTAATTTCTGCAGCCTGCGAACCTGCTTCGGGAACAACGGAATCGTCGACAACCTCAACAGCCACGGCGGTATCTGCCTCTTCAACTGGCGGCGTTTCAGATTCTGTGGGGACAGGTTTGGGGTTGAGATCAGATGCTTCATCCACTGCCACAGTGTCTACGACCTCATCTGCGGTGATATCAGTGACATCCTCAGGCGCAGAGGTGGGCTCTTTGACACGAGGTTCCGACACGATATCGTCGACAACTTCAGTAGTAATCTCTCCCATCTCTTGAACTGGCGCTGCGGCGGAAATTTCTGTGGCGACGAATTCATCATCCACTGCAACAACCTCTAACACCTCGGCAGTGGCATCGATTTCTCGAACTGGAACATCTTCTAGCGCTGAGGTTGGCTCCAAGGCTGGCTCTGCTACCGCAGGTTCCGGGACGACATCATCGACAGCATCTACGGCCGCAGCATCCACAACCTGCTCGTTAAAACTCTCGTGGACGATGACGGCCACTTTGACAGAAGCCTCTGCAGTGAGTTCAGGAGTAGAGTCTCCCGTCTCTTGGACTGGTGCAGAGGTGGAAAATTCTGTGGCGACGAATTGAGCGTCGAGGCCATCCACCGCCGCAGTGTCTACGACGCCGTGCGCGGTGGCATCCGTTTCTTGAACCAAAACATCTTGTGGAGCAGAGGTGGGCTCCGCAGCCACGGCGGTATCTACCTTTTCGACTGGTGGCGGGGCAGATTCTGTGGCGGCAGGCTTGGGGTCTAGATCAGATGCTTCGTCCACTGCCACGGTGTCTACAACCTCATCCGCAGTGGTATTAGTTACATCCTCAGGCGCAGAGGTAGGTTCCGAGACGATGTCATCGACAACAACAGCATCTGCGGCCTTCTCGTAGACGATGACTGCCTCTTCAATCGGAACCTCTACATCAACTTCGGTTGTAATCTCTTCGGTTTCTTGAACTGGCGTAGAGGTGGAAGATTCTGCGGCGACGGATTCATCGTCCACTGCAACAGGCTCTAACACTTCCGGAGTGGCATCAGCTTCTCGAACTGGAATATCTTCTGGCGTTGAGGTTGCTCCAACACTGGCTCTGCTAGGGTAGGTTCCGAGACGACATCATTGACGACGGCAGCATCTACGGCCTCAGCATCAACGGCCTCAGCATCAACGGCCTGTTCGTTAGAGTTCTCGTAGACAATGATGGTCTCTGCGATAGGAGCCTCTGCGATAACTTCAGCAGGAGAGTCTCCCGTCTCTTGGACTGGTGCAGAACCATCCACTGCCACAGTGTCTACGACGTCGTGCGCGGTGGCAACGGCCTTTTGAACCAGAACATCCTCTAGTGCAGAGGTGGGCTCCGTAACGGGAGGTTCCGAGACGATTTCGTCGACTGCAACAGCACCTACGGCCTTCTCGTGGACGATGACCGCCTCTGCATCAGGAACAGCTTCCACTCTGAGGAGTTCGGCAACAGTCTCTCCCGTCTCTTGAACTGGTGCCGAGGTGGATTTTGGCACTTCCTCTTGCCGGACGATAACAGGCGCATCGCCTCCTGCAACAACAGCCTGGTCCACAGCATCCACATCCTCAAGTGATGCCGCCTGGGAAGGAACTTCTTCGGCCGCAGAGGGGGGTCCTGCTATCACCAATTCCGGCGATCCTTCAGCCACGCTATCTAGAGCAGTGGTCGAATCCTCCTCGATGGACGCAACCTCTTCAATTGACGTAACCTCTGCGACCGTGGGTTCAGCGACCACGTTGGACGTAGCCTCTGTGGGGAGCGGCGTAGGGGAAGATTCTGTTGCAACAGTTTCGAGACCGGGACCAGAGTCCACTGCGACGGTTGTGACACCATCCATGGTGGCAGCACCCAGAGTTGGTGGCGGCAAGTCCGCCACTATTGACTCTTCCTCAACCTCTTTGGGGAGCGTAGAGGACTCTGTTTCCAATTCTGGGACGACGGAGGACGCCACATCCTCAACGACATCTTCTGCGACGTTAGCGTTGGGGGACTGCTCATCAGCGGTGGCGATGGCTTCTGCGATCGGCGTCGACTCGGTATTGATTTCAGACGCGAACTCCCCCACCTCTTCTGTCGGGACAGGGATGGCCTCAGTCGCTGATTGCTGGATCTCGTCAACTGCGACCATATCGTCCACTTCAACTTCCAGTTCTGCTAGATCAGTGGAGGTGGGAAGAGGACTGCCTTGAACCGAGACAGAATACGAAAGAGTCCAAGGAGAGCTTGATCTGGGTGGATCAAGTGACACGTCTAGGGAGGATACATCCACAGCCGGCTGTCGAAGGGCTGTGTTGATTTCAGACGCGACCTCCCCAACCACTTCAGCCGGAACAGGCATGGTCTCAGCCGCTGATTGCTGAATCTCGTCAACTGCGACCATATCGTCCACTTCAACTGTCGATTCTGCTAGCTCAGTGGAAGTGGGAAATGGACTGCCTTGAACCGAGACAGAATACGAAGGAGTCCAAGGAGAGCTTGATCTGGGTGGATCAAGTGATGCGTCCAGGGAGGATACATCCACAGCCAGCTGTAGAAGGGCTAGATAAGAAACAAAGTTGTTGGGAATTAGAGCGCTCTTGCCTTGGCGAAATCTTCTTGCCCACTTGAGAAGACGTCCAGGTCGGAAGGGGTAGCTAAAACGTCTGGTTCCCCTTTTGAAGACGGCCAACCTTGTTGAGACACCGAGTAAGACGGAGTCCACGGGGATTTCGGCCGGTCAGGCACCAAGGTTGTAGCGGCCAAAAATGTCTTTGG